ATTCAAGTCACAATACAGAGAAATCTGCTTAATTTGCCTACTTTTTATTAGTAATTCAATTATTTGTTTATTCATTTAAGTATCATTTATTGAGCCCTCCTATATGCCAGGAATTGTACTAGGGGCTGAGAATATACACACATAATAAAATGAAGATGAATAAAATAAATCCATGTCTTCAAGAAACTTGTAGGACTACTAGAGAAGTAAACCACGACTATCATGTGGTGTGATAAGTGTTTTTATAGAAGGGTGCAATGGGATGTTATTGAAGCACAGAAGATAGGCATCTACTCTGGACCTGAATCATCTGGTGCAGACGAAGTTTAAGCTAATCTTGAAGAATGAGTATTAGTTAGCTGGATGAGTAGAAGAGAGATCAGAGAAAGGAGTCTCAGACAGAGGAGACAGTAAATGCAAAAGCCCAGAAGTGTGAAATAATTTAGAACATTAGGGATGACCACTGATTAATTAGATGGCTGAAGCATAAGAGGTGTGGGGATGACAGTGGGAAAGAGACTTGAAGGGCCATTTCACTCCATGATCCAAGTCATTTGCAGCAGCAAACTGTTACTAGGTAAATTTTCCTAAATAAAATTTAGGAAATGTAAATTTCCTAAATTTACATGTAAATTAAATGGGATTTAATGGGATGTAAATTTTCCTAAATAAAAGTAGAACATCAGGCTGGTCTACGTCTATTGCTGAATGAAAGCCTCTTCCTTTTAGCAGGCCTTGATGCCTACCAATGTCAGGGTTGCGTTGGGTTTGATTTCCTACTTTACACAAAATAGAAGTGGAAATGGGGGGAATGACCATGTGAAGGTAGCTTGTAGTTTGCCCAGTGGCTGCTGTTCAGGGACCACAAACTACACTGATATCAGAGGTAAAGTAAACTGCTGGCTTTACCTGGTCTTCCAGAGGGCCCCTTTGTTCCAGTCTCAATGGGTTTTTCGAATTTAGTGGTAAATGCTGGGAGTTTCTGAGGCTACTCAGCTATTAAAAGACTTCATTCTTAAAAGCGGAGACAGTTGCTGATTTCCACTATTGGATGATTTGGACATGTGACTTCTCACAGACACCAAGTAGAATCTTCTAAATAGTCTTGGATGTTTGCCAGGATAACTTGAGTGTTGTTAGAATTCAAGGGTTATTTATTCAGCCAGATAGTGTGACATTTTCAAAGAAATTGAGAGTTGGAAGGCCTCTTTGTTGGTGTTAGCAACAAACCAGTTTGTTTTGCGTGGCCTCGACTGGCTGAGCTGGACCTGGCTCCTGGGATTTCCATTAACAGTTGCCCAAGCTGTATTTAGGGCACTCTCTTTTTCTAGAAAAGCTGAAATTTCCCAGCTGATTATGACTTTCTAGAGATGGACCTAAGCGTAATATTTGCACCAAATTCTGTATGTGTCAGAACTGTTGGAAAGGAAGGAATATATTTTACATGTAGTATGAGTCCCCAATCACTGCTTTCTTCTCAGCATTGCTAGATGTCAGCTACAGCAGCTGAATGCTTTTGGTTAGAGACAGATACTGTTAATTTTTCTGAAATGATACTTCTTTCATGCTCAAGGATGGCACCAGGACAGTCTGTTTGCTCACCATGGGAAGGAGCTAAGTGTCAGAGTTTGCAGCTGCCTTACAAACTGCTGCTGGACTTTAGTGCAGCAAATAAAAGAGCAGAGCTTTGATGATTCTCTAACTGGAGGAGGCTGATGAGTTTGGACAGACCTAAGTTGAGGGTATTATATGGATGTCTAGATGTTGAAGTCACCATAGTATTGCAGATGGTGAGTGATGCTTCCTGTTGCTGTCCCTGTGACCAGCTCTCTCACTTCATGGTCTAAGAAGGAACCGTTTTCTTAAATGTTATGATGTGTGAAAAACCTAAGGGGTAGGGAGAACCTACCCATTCATCTCTTCACATGCTCCTTAAATGAATTTACTCCAAAACAAGCAATAAATGGGACAACAGAATCTGTGCTAGTCTAAATAGGTATTTATTAACCTCGAAGGAGAAGGCCCTTAAGAAAAACACAGAGAAATTCTCTAGTAACTGATGAATAGCAATAGTTGCTTAAATTAGATTTTCTAATTCCAAATCTCCTTTCCCCATATATTATCACTACCCTCCCTTCTTTTAAACTTGTTTCTGTTTCCTATCAATTCTTTCCTCTTAGCATGGTGTCAGTTGACCCTAAGGGAACCTCTCTGACTGAAATCAAAATATTCCTGCATCTCTCATTGAGTGAAAACCAGAATTAAAAAAAATTTTATGAGATGATTAGAGGACTCATAGAAAAATTGCAAGGTAAAATTTGAGCGCCAGTTCTTTTTACTCCTTTACTCTCTCAGTAACACTAGTTTTTCCTTCCCATATGTTTGACACTTTTTCTCCAACCAAAAGCTGTGTTGGCAGAAGAATCTGGTATGAGTTTGTCCAAGTTGCCTGTAGTGGGCATCTGCTGTTTTTGCTTCCCCAGCATTCCTTCCTCTCTTATTTCACACACATGTGTTTACATCTGGGGAATTATTTGACCCCCACCTGGTGGGCCTGTAGATAACATGCCCTGCTGTCAGTCATTACGGGGATGGGCCCAGTAGTGTACAAGTGATACAAAGAGAACTGGCATTTTTGAGGACTGATATGAATGCTGGGTTTTTCTCCTGTTTTGATTATAGACACAAGAGATTTCGTGAACATGTAATGGCTGGGGATCATCTTTGCCAGTGTATGGAGTTTAAACAAGAGAAGAAATAGAGCTAAGAGAAAGTGGGGTGGAGAGAGAGAGAGAGAGAGACTCCAAGCAGGGGGAGGAGAGATGTTTATGAAGAGATATTGTGACTTCTACCTACGAAAACTTATGGTACTGCTAATTGTGCTAATAGGTAGTGGGATTGGGGAGAGAACCTTGAAGCTTTCTCCATAGCCTGATCTCATACTATGTTGGTAACAAGTCATATTACAGTTTGCAAGTGCTTGGGGATTAAATTTGTTTTAGAAGAACTTGGCTGAAGAACAGGTCTGGAAGCCCTAATTAAGTGATTATATTTGAGAGAACAACTTCTCTTCTACTTAAATGAAACATTTGCTCATAAAGTCACTACAAGAATGCACAGAATGACATTTCCTTCCAGTTCCTTGGCATTGCACTGGAGAATGGTACCTTAGCCAAGACGAACCCATGGCACAATTGTAGCAACATTTTGTTAGGAAAACATCTATGCTCCTAAGTAATCTGGTTACTTAGTCAGACAACTTAGTTTGTTGTCATAAAGTTGAATAAGGACATAATGTAAAATTTCAGGTAGTGTTACTTTCCAGAAGGCCAAATCATACTTGAGAGGTATAAAATTCACATGGGCATGAAAGGGTTTAGCTAACTTATCAATTTAATTAATTCATGAATGTTTAGGTTCTAACGATTATATTATTAACCTTTTAAAGTTGATGTCACTTATGCTACCTTTATAAATTTTCATTTATGTCATAATTCTGGCTGAATGAGTTATTTTCTATGGTCTTATATTCTAAACAAATGGAAGTTGCTCTTTCCATACCCTCCCTCCATTTTTAAATAAAATAACACTAATAGAATAAGTTAGTGACAAGAGTATTGATCTGGTTTTGTGTGGATATAGTGAGTAGATATAGGGAGGCAGATTTCAAATTGTTATCAGGAAAATTTTTAGCATTGTTTTATTAACTGGTAACCTGTCTCACTTCTGGTAGGATTCAAGTAGTAACTGTCCCTATGGCTAGAGGATCCCTGCTAAGGATTAGAAGGGATTTATGCATTGGTGTGAGTTTTGGGCAAAACAATGTTTTAAGCTATTCTAGCTCCAAGAGACCATATACTACTAGTGGTTATACTAATACTATTAATATGACTTATACATTTTGCTATTAATAGTAATAATTGCCACTTGGTAGGCATCTATTATATGCTATATACAGTGCTAGGCATTTTACTTAATACCTCCCAGTTAAGCCTCATACCAACCCTCTTTAGATATTATCCGCATTGATGTGGATTAAAGACCTAGCTGTTCTCTATTTTTTCGTATGTATTATCTCAACCCTTCCAGCAGATTACAAATTCATTCTTAAGAGAGAAGTCAGTGATATACTTTGTATTATTCCTTATAGTTCCTGCAAATGTGAAAGGGTGGAGCAGATTCAGCTTGAAAATTGTCTGCTCAGTCCTGCTTCCCTTCCAGACCTCATTAGTGTTATCTGAAAGACCCCAAAGCCGTGTAAATGGTTACCACAATGGAAAAGCTACAAGCTGGGTACTTTCTCAGCTCTGTGTCATCTTAGTGTTTGTGTAACCTTGGGGAAGCTACTTAACATCTCTGAGCTTCAACATTCTCATCTGTAGGATAGGATAATAATAGTGCTCCCTCTAATAGGGTTGTCATAAACATTAAGTTAGTTAACACATGCAAAGCATTTAAAACATTATTACTAGCCCCAGTTCTTTCTCCTTTAATAATGAGTATTTAATTGCATATACATTTAAATTACTTTAAGGGGCTGTTGCTTTATTGGAATTCAAGAAGGCACTAGTTAACTTCTTTTTGGTGTCATTATTTTGAGATTTCTACAATCTTATCTGATACATCAGTTGGGAATCTTTAATTAAAAATCCAGAGGAAAATAAAAAGTAACTCATATAATAATACTTGCATATGGTTCACCGTTGGATCACTTGAAGGAAGCCCAAGGAACATTAAAGGTTGTAAATTTTTAGCTCTGTAGTCACAAAGATTTCTCTATCATCTTCAGAATTATGTTTTTAAGGTAGAGTAAGAATTGAGTTTTCCATCATATTTTCCAAGTATTCATAATATTGTGTGTATGTGTTTGGGTGTTAAAAAGGGAACTTTCTTTATAATCTCTTTAAATAAGCTTAAAAATAGTGAATCATAGGTTTTTGGCCTGCCATGGGCTTGCCAGCTTAGAGTGCAAGAGGTATTCAAATCTTGCTGATATAATGGATTTTTTTTTAAGTTTTAATTACACATTTGAAGTCCTGATTGTACCCTATGGATTTATTTGTTTATGAAAAGTCAAACTATGTATTACAATATTGCAGAATACTTTCTACTTCATCACATTAATTTCACCATTCATTCCACAAATATGATTTGTAAAATTCTGCAATAACTTGATACTGTATTAGAAAAAGGTACTTAAATAGATGAGAAAGATAGATGTTTGTCTTCTTCTTCTGATATTGATATTAAATAAAAGACGGAATGTTTTTGTTTAAAACCAATTCCTCATTCCCCCACCCCCACCCCTGACCCCCAAACACAAGAAGTGAATGTCAATGTGAACAAAGGCTTCCTTTAAATCTGTTATTCAGTTCAAGTGTGTGTCAGGAAAAAAAAGTGTGTATAAAATCTAACAACAAAAAAGGGAACTGTAAATAGAAAAGTAAAACATGTAGAGGAGACAAATATTCTGTGCATATAGCTTTAAAATCCCATCAGGGAATACTTGTCAGAAAGAGAGACTACATACTCATTAATTTAAACATACATTCCCCAAAGCAATATTCCAATATGTTAATTTGCCACAATAGATTTACCCATTGAAATCAGTCCACCAGTCTTGACCAGCAAGTAGGATCTTAATTTTACCATCTAACAGTTCAATTGAAATGGAATAAAGATTTTAACACAAATATCTTAGTAACATAGACTTTCCCAGGTTGTAATGGAGCATCTATTCAACATTGTCAGTTCACAGGTAATGAAACTCCTTGTAAATGTTATTTCCTCACATAATAGCAGGGTCTTACATGGAAAAGGGCTCTGTTCACTTTCTATTTAAAGCACAGGAAGAGATTATAGAATTGGTTAAGGAAAACACCTTATTTTTTGGAAATCAGTTAAAAAATCTAAAGTTATGAGTATAAAGTAATAAAAGAAAAATAGCTGGCTGGGTTTCCCCCCTTCTTTACAGTGATATGGTAGAAATACAAGGAAAATGCCTAAAGTCCTAAAGGAAATCTGGTACCTTCACTTGCTACAGGGCTCAGTATAGAGTAAGGAAAAGAAATATTTTTGGCTGCAGCTTTAGTAAACAATGAATGATGAAAAATATTGCAGAAATATCTTCAAGAAATCTGACCACTCTGAGCACAGACCTTATCACACTGATATGTCTATATACCTCCACGAAGCTTGGCAAATGAATAACTGAGCCTGATTTTGGTGGAAGGAGAGAAGGAAGTACTAGTTCCAGCATTGAACCAAGATAATGAAAAAAACCCAACCAACAAAAAACAGTTATTTCTTCTCCTGAATAATAAAGACATCATGTTTGCATATAGAACAGCTTTTACATTATTGCTCTACGTATAAGAATATATTAAGGAACTCATAACAGACTGCACATTACAAACTTAAGGTTCTTTGGTGAAGAATGAAAGAAAAAAGTATTTGAGCTTTAAAGAAAATGATCTCATCCACTTTGCTTTTATCTATTGATCTGTTGAATCCTCTCACAGAGCAGGGAGAGGTACTGTGTGAGTTTCACCATGGCAACGATAGCCACTCCCCCAGCCATCATACACGTTGGCCAAAAGAGTGAATGGAACAGCACGTTGGAACTGTAGAGTTTGGTTAGTATGACACTCTTCTGGTTTCCTTCCGGGTCAGAATAGCAGGAGAAGTGTTGGTACTTCCTGAAGTTTTCCATGACAACATTCACCAGGGACATGGATTCTTCAAAATTTTTTCCACACTTAGGTATATAGGAGCACTGTGGAAAATGAGATAAACTGTCACCAGAAGATACTCTGTGTGTGTGTGTATGTGTGCGTGTGTGGTACTAGGAGGAGTACTGAGGCCAACTTAATGATCTGTAAAATAACCATGATGGTTTTTCTTTTCACATTCAAACTAGTGCCTCTAGAAGCCCTAAGAACTCACACACTGATTAAAACAATGTTTTTAGGTATCCGGCCAAGATGTACTTTGATAGCTCACTCATAGCTTAAATATTGATTAAAATTGGGTGACTCCAAAAAACAATTGGATAACTCCAGTGGATTCCTTTTGCCACAGCTAAGCATGGTGAGTGTTCATTATTCTCCATTGAACATACTTTTCCGTGGAATCAGAGTGTCAACCTTTCTGTCTTGTATCTGTCCACAGCTGTTTATGTAATATCAAAAGCTGCCAGTTATCTCAGGGAACTCTTACTCTTATATTTTCAGCTTGGCTTAATTTTTTTCAGCCAAATCACCTTGGTCATCTTGCTGCTAGTCAAGAAGACAGCTGTACCCCTGGTGAGCTGCTAAAAAAGAATCTCAGAAAGTGTAGGGATATTGAATAAAGAGCTGTGATAAATGGTTCATGCCCAGTTAATGTTGACAAGGTAACTTTTTCCATAAAGCAAGGAAACATAAAGCAGAATCAATTCAGTTTACTCTTAAACCAGCACTCATAATAACTTTTCTTTGATTTTTTCACCTGCTATCTTTCTTGCTATATCTCTTCTATATGCCTCTCCTTATTTTTTCTACACACTTACATCCTCTGATTTCTTTCTTTGTATCTCTCTTTTCCTTCCCTGCCCTGCCTGCCAGCCCTCACCTCTCTATGATATTTTCCCCTCTATTCCCTCTTCCTGTTCTCCTTTCTCCTTCTCTTCTCCCTCCCTCTTCTCTGGATACAGATGGAATTAAAGAACTTTGTAGTTTTTCTTTTTATTACTTATTGGATATGTTTTTGCATATATTTTCCTAATTTATAGATCAGTCTTTGAGGAGATGAAATCTCTGTGAACCTCTTCCTTGGTCTGTATGTGAACAGTGACAAAACTGATATAACAATGCATTTAACTTTTTAAAAAGTGAGGAAAAAAGTGATTTAAGTAACTTCTTTGGGAGTTGTGTGGGCCCTTGGTTAAGTCTTTGCCCTCTTTATGGTAAGGTGCCTCCCAATAGGAAAAAAATTCCTATCCTTTGTTACATACATTATCAAATGATTAATTGATTTACCTGAATTAAAATGGTTTGTGACAAGATAACTGCTAATCTCGTGTTTTAATGTGAATTAGAAAACTATGCCCCCTCATCAAAACACTGTTATTCTCTGTTGAAAAATTGTGATAATACACTGATTTTATGAAAAAAACCCCACATATTTTACTGCTACTACCAGTTTATAAGTTGTGATTTAAATATTGATATCTATGAGTTTTACAATGTCACTGGTACCCCTAGGATTGTACAGTACACAACTCACGCAACTGTATGTAGAGATACAGATGAGGTGGGCTGTCGGTGAACTTTGAGCTATACTGATGGGAGCTTAGGGGTAGGACCTTGGATTCCAGAACCAGTTTAGATTTGTATATTTCACAGGAAGAAAATATAAAAGAAATGGAATGAGTTTTGCTAATGGAGTATGTTTGAATGACTCTTGCCCCTGACTTTATTAGTGGGTATACTGGCACTTGCTTTTTTTTAACTGTGCTGTAATCACTGGATTATTTGTTTATAAACAGCAGGAAGATTCTTCAATTAGTTAAGAATGGAGGATGAGCATGCTGACATTTATCATAAGCAAGACTTAATATTCTCATACAAGGGCTGGTTGACAACCTCATATTTAATCAGCTAAGAATAAATGTGAGTACACTCATAAATGTGGTTAGTGCAGAGAGCTGGTACTAGCACAACATTAAGGGTCTGAAAGTATCTCCAAGAAAGCAGAATTTCTCAGTGAGTTATAACTTAGTATGAAAATTGGTCTATGACTGCCATGATACATTTTCTACTGGTTGGATGCTGGATTGAAAGAGTTTAAAGCAGTAAGGGGATACCTTTATATTTTTTCTTCTTCAGCACTGTTAGATCATGTCTACAATTTTTTTTAATGCTTTGATTCAAAAAAACAGTAAAAAAATTTAAAGACAAGTCATTCGTGGTTGAATTAAAAAAGAGCCAATTTAGCGTATGAATGCATCAGGGTTCTTTATATTTTGGTGCCAAGAGAGTTTATAGTAGTAGTTTTAGTGGCTAACAGTACTAAGTTATTGAAATGGTCTCAATAAAAATGGAATTCCATTAAAAATGGAGTTTTTCCTTTTCTTATGCTCTTGTGAATTGATTTGGCTTTTAAATTTTTTTTTGGAGAAACATTTATCAGCCAGTGACAATAATTTTGTCACTATATAAGATTCTTCCAAATACAATGCGATATACATTACTTTTGAGACCATCTAGCAAGGTTTTAATACAGGAGCTGCTTTATTAAAGCTTCTAGTCATCAGGGTCTCAAATGCACACGTTTGGACTGGCCAGATGAGGTGTGTCCCATACATGATCGGGTGTGGGTCCTCAGGGCCAGGCACTTAGAAATGCAACTCCACGTTACTGGTAGAGAAAAGATTTCTCTGCCCTTGTGTTTTTAGCTTTTTCTAATCTTGCCACCCACCACCTTTCAACACACATAAACTGGCTCCCACTAGACTATTATTATCCTTGAAAATTCTGTCATAATATGTCAATCATTCATTTACTTCTATTATTGATGGGTCCTTCTTTTGTGCTAATGAGTATATAAGGTAGTATCACAAGCCCCTGACGTGTCTTCAAGAGGTCTGGTTACTGTGTTACTGTGTTTCTATAAGCAAGTTACTTGGCTCCTCAGAATCAACTTTTGTATATAGTAGGGTTAATAGAGCCTTCCTGGCAGGGTGTGTGAGGATTAAATTATGAATATGCATAAAGCATCAATAAATTTTCTTTAACATATTTTTTATTGGAATATCACATTTGTCCATACGATCTAAAGTCTTTAAACAAGTGCCACATACTAAAGTAAGAAAACTTTAAGGAGGGTAAAATTACTAGTTATGTGGTTTTCACAGGAACAGTCCTGTTTGATGGCTCTTGTCACGTGTTCCTTGTTTTTGTGTCCAAAGAGATTTGACATTATGCTGAATCCTACATTAGGATTCTAAGTTTTTGTTTCAAACTATAGCCATGTGTATGTTTATGAGACTGGTATGAACTTGGGGTAAAGATTTAGTGATCTTATGATTTTATCACGTTTGGAGAGTGCATTTCAACAAATGAAAACTTTAGTAAGTGATCAACACTTAGTTGGAAAAATGTAATGTAGATTGAAAAGGTAAAAATCCTTGTGTTTTTAGATCATTCTTTTCTTGGTGGGAGGTATGGGCTAGGAAAGATTTAACATTTAAACTGCATGATATATAACACAAAGGAACATATAAATAATAATTTTATATACACAAGACACTTAAATGCCACTCAAAATTTGTTTATATATATTTATATTACCATGGCTATAGGTCCTTCTTTCTTTTGTACCTAACATATGGATATAGAAACCTAGCAAAACTCTGAGGCAGTCATTCAGGGGAAGATTTAGACCCTCATCTCTCTTCTCTCTTTTCTTTTAATTTTAATTTTTTATTTTTAATTAATTAGTTAATTAATTTTTGACTGTGTTGGGTCTTCGTTGCTGCAAGTGGGCTTTCTCTAGTTGCAAAGAGCGGGGGGCTACTCTTCATTGTGGTGTGCAGGCTTCTCACTGCGGTGGCTTCTCTTGCTGCAGAGCACAGGCTCCAGGCATGGGCTTCAGTGGCTGTGGCTCGCGGGCTCCAGAGTACAGGCTCAGCAGTTGTGGTGCATGGGCTTAGTTGCTCCGTGGCATGTGAGATCTTCCCAGACCAGGGCTCAAACCCATGTCCCCTGCATTGGCAGGTGGACTCCCAACCACTGCGCCACCAGGGAAGCCCTCACATCTCTCTTCTTAATCCTGAATTTTGTTAATAAACCTTTGTGCTTTCCCAACTCCCTTAAATTCTCTTTCGTATTGAAAATACAGAGATGGCCCCACAACGTGACCCTTCGTCTCCCCAGCTGAGAAAACCTGGATCCTGTCACCTTCTCCTGACTGTCCTTTCCCTTACCACAAAGATCTAGCAATTGCATCTTCTCTCCAGTTCTTTGGAAAGCAACTGAAAGTTTTCTTAGCCTCCCTTCCAGAATCTTTCACATCAATAGAGTCATTTTTATTCTCGTGATGGACAGAAGTTTTGAGAAAGTAACTCTTGGGCTTTTGCTCAGCCATGCTTCACTAGGCACGTGTGAAGCAAAAAGTGACAGGCCTTCACCCTAAAAATAAAAGCTTTGGGAAGGAGTGGGGGCAGTAGGCGGGGTATATTTGGCTGGATAACCTCACTGGTCAGCCTCCTTTTCCTTATGATGGTAGGAAGGGAACTATTAATTCTCAGGATCACCTCAGGGGAAGGGTTTGTTCTTCATTTGTTCTTTTATTAAAAGGGCAGTGTCTTATTTCAGAGAGGGGTTATGTTTGATGAAATCTAATCAATATGTTTTGAGTGTCTCTAAAGTACCAAGTTGCATGCTGGGTATAGGCATGAGAAACATAAACAATTTAAAACAGATCATTAGAGAGAAACAGGACAAGGGTGGTGGGAATGATGAAATGGGACCAGCAATGAGGCTGAAAAGGCTCTTAATAAAGGCTCTGCACTTCCCAGATGTGGGCCACAAATTTGTGAGAACTCTGTGGTATCCAGGGCATCCTAGTCCACAATGCCTACGAGATAAAAACAAAAACACTGCTCACTGAAGCATAAACATCTTGGTTCTAAAGTCAGATGGGACTTCTACAGTGTCCACAAACAGTGAGTATTGTGTACATGTTTATTAAGCATGTATGATGTGCCAGGCTTTGTGTTCTGTGCTGGAGAAG